TTTAATGATTTTGAGCCTTTTATCTCTGGATGGGACTGTCCCTTGCATCTCTGAGTCCCTGGTTAAGTCAAGCTTCACCGAGGCCTCGGCACGGCTGTCTGCACAGCTTTTCTCTTCATTTCCCTCACATTCCTCCGTAGTTTTCGTCCATTTTTGTCACACTCTGTAGTTACACGCTGATTTGGGGAACTGTTGGCTCAACAGCCATCTCTCACAGGCCATGAGCCTCAGGAGGTAGTGGGTCTCTTTGCTCAGCTCTGTCCCCTGGGGCTCAGAACCTGGTCAGACACCTGGAAAACTCGACCATCATTGGATGAACCAGTATTCACAACACAGACTCCAAAACATTCCTAACAAATGAACAAGGAAGGAAATTGCATGTGTGTGCTGGCATGCGTGATTTAGAACAGGAAATATGTTATAGTCTTGAATGAAAAATCTATCATTTCATGTTTCAGGCTAGTAAACACAAAATTCCAAAGCACACAGCTGGGAACACAGGAGCTGGTCATGACCTTGTCATGCCGTCCACTTTCCCTGTGACCCTGAGCCAGTTACTGAGTTACACTGGGTTTCTTTTTAACTATTGCTTTTCTGCTAGACAAAGAGCTAAGGTTTGCATGGTCTGTATGCAGAAGGGATTCTGTCACAAAGCCTAAAGGAAAACAGAAGAAAACTCAATTCCTTGTGCTGGAAAGATGGCTCAGCAGCTAAGAGAACTTGCTGCTCTTACTGAGGACCTGTGTTTGGTTCCCAGCACCCATGTCAGGCAGCTCACAACCACCTGTAACTATAGCTCCAGGGGATCCTCCAGCCTCTTAGAGCCTCTGAAGGCACTCACATTTACAAGCACATACCCCCTCACACACGCACACACACGCGCACACGCGCGCACACACACACACACACACACAGAGTTAAAAATAAATCTTTAGAAAAACACGGTTCCTAAACCCTTTAATTTACGGGTTTCATTTACTATTTTAATGCCAAAGATACTTTTCAGCTACCAGGGCACTAACTCTCACTCCTCTTTCCCTCCATCCTGCAAGACTATGTTCCCCAAACCTGGGGCACACACAGTCCTCACTCCATGTCCGGGCTCCTCCTCATCCACTCTCTCACTCCACATTGCCTGGTCTGTGCCACGCTGTCCGGGATGACAGCAGAACACAGTGACACCACCTCCGCTTCCCGACTCAGGCCACGAGGTGGCCAGGTCTCGCTCCATAACCACAACATCCTCAGCAGGCCTCAACTGCTTCCTGAGCACTTCCACCACTTCATGGTGACACTATTTAAAAATATTTTAACTATTATTTTATGTGTATGAGTGTATTGCCTGCATGTGTATAAGTGTGCCCGTGTCATGTAATGCTAGCAGAGGTCAGAAGAGGGTGTTGGATTCCCCTGGAACTAGAGTTACAGATGGTTGTCGTCGTGTGGGTGCTGGGAATCGAACCCAAGTCCTCTGCAAGAGCAGTCAATGCTCTTAATTGCTGAGCCACCTCTCCAACCCCGCATGGTGACTTTTGACTCAGCACATTTGAAATAAAGCTGTCATTATTTCCTCTGCCCTCTTCTTGGTCACTGGACTGCCATTTTCTCTGGCTTCCAAGCTCACAGTTCCTGTGGATGTCTCTGCCTCCAGCTCCACACTAACCCAACACCAGGCAAGCACTCCGTTTCTTCGAGAACAGCAATCCGCTCTGGCTTCCTTTGTCACCTGCCTGTCTAGACTCCTCACTTCACACCCAGGCCACTCTCCATGACTTACCTACGGAATCTCACCATGGTAAGTCTTTCTTTGCATATAAGATCTGGGGGTCCTGAAATGGGCTTTTTGAACCTCTCAGAGGCCCTCGGGGCTCCCTACTCAAGGATAAAGGTGGACGTTCATCCTGGAATTCGGGGCATAAAGAAGCTGCCTTCGTGGGTACATCACCCTCCACACCAGGTGGGGCCTCTGGGGCAGCCAGCCAGGGATTCACTGTGCGCAGGCCCAGGGTCAGCAGCCAGAGCTCCGAGTAGCCAGGTGGGCACTGTCTGTCCCCTGCCACTTGCTCAGGGAGCGTTTGAGCTGTTCCTTCTACGCTCCAGGTTTCCTCTTCTCAGTTTAAATGCAGAAGCTAGGGGTACCTACACTGCATCTTTAGGATCAAAATAAGAGAAGGGAAAAAGAGGACCAGGAGGAGGAGGACCAGGAGGAGGAGGACCAGGAGGAGGACCAAGAGGAAGAGGACCAGGAGGAGGAGGAGGAGGAGGACCAGGAGGAGGACCAGGAGGAGGACCAGGAGGAGGACCAGGAGGAGGACCAGGAGGAGGACCAGGAGGAGGACCAGGAGGAGGACCAGGAGGAGGACCAGGAGGAGGACCAGGAGGAGGACCAGGAGGAGGACCAGGAGGAGGACCAGGAGGAGGACCAGGAGGAGGACCAGGAGGAGGACCAGGAGGAGGACCAGGAGGAGGACCAGGAGGAGGACCAGGAGGAGGACCAGGAGGAGGACCAGGAGGAGGACCAGGAGGAGGACCAGGAGGAGGACCAGGAGGAGGACCAGGAGGAGGACCAGGAGGAGGACCAGGAGGAGGACCAGGAGGAAGAGGACCAGGAGGACGAGGAGGACCAGGAGGACGAGGAGGACCAGGAGGAGGACCAGGAGGAGGAGGAAGACCAGGAGGAGGATCAGGAGGAGAAGGAGGACCAGGAGGAGGAGGACCAGGAGGAGAAAGAGGACCAGGAGGAGAAAGAGGACCAGGAGGAGGAGGACCAGGAGGAGGACCAGGAGGAGGACCAGGAGGAAGAGGACCAGGAGGAAGAGGAGGACCAGGAGGAGGAGGCCCAGGAGGAGGCGCAGGAGGAAGAGGACCAGGAGGAGGAGAAGGACCAGGAGGAGGAGGCCCAGGAGGGGAGAGAACATTATTTCTAAAAACTAAACTCAAGGACTTTATTTTGCTTTCACCATTGAGCTCTGGGAAAGAGCTTGGCAGAGTGAAGGCTCAGAGTGAACACTCGCCAACTGGGATGTGTACCCATTCCTCCTTCCCTCCCGCCATCCACCTGAAACCTCTCTTCATCTGCCTCCATCAGAATCCCCACTGGCCCTCAAACCAGGACTCAAGATTCCTTTTTTCTTGATGGCCACATCCCCAGCGTTTCGTTTCAGTCTGCTCAGACCCTTTGCAGGTAATTATCTGTCATCCTCTTAGGCTGCGAGCGACTCAAGCTTTGTCGTAAACTCCACAAATGAGTGCTGCGTCCGGCGATACTTCTTCACACAAAATTATCTTTTTTTGTTTCAAGAAACCAACATAACAACTATAGAAGGCTAAGACATGCACCTCTCCATCAGGGGACAGTCACTGCCCACCAAGCGCTTAGTTCACAAGCAACAGAGAAGTTGTTAGGCTACTCCTCAGACTGAGGTGGGGCCAACCAGAACAGATCTGACCGCTCCTGCTGAGCCCACCCAGGGTGATGGAAGAGCCCTCAGCCAGGAAGACCTGTGAAGCAACGCTTGGGAACAACATGGACTTCCTCCATGAGCAAGTGTGGGCTGTAAGTGCAGACGGGTTAAGAGATTAGCTGCCACTTGCCAGTTCTGGTTCCCTCTTAAAGGGAACTTCCTGAGCGTTTGCTGGGGAAATGAGCAGTGAGGGAATTGCCAGGAAAAGCTGCTGGAGTGAAACTAAACATTCAGGACCATTCTTGATCATTTGGAGAAACACACCTAAGGGTCACCATTTTCTTACCTAAACTTCCTTCTCAGTCTTTGTCAGACATAGGAAACAGGACCCCAACCGCAGCCACAGCCTAACCCAGTGCCTAGCCCAGTGCATGACGGCTCAGATCTCAGCTGTGATGTGAACTGTACTGCCTAGCTACACAGGGAGAAGGCTTTGAGGTCTAACTCTGAGAATGCCGCTCTCTGTCGGACTTCAGCCGTGACATGGGAGCTCCAGTGCTGTTTCGCCTAATTGTTTATATGCTGCTTGGTCGCTAAGACGTAGTCCTTGGGATTTAATTGAAACCCAAAGGACGCTCTCAAGTCTAGAATACAGAGTATTAATGAGGAAGGCAGTGGTACTTACACTCCCTTTAGACTTCCTGGATCCAACCATAGGAGGTAGTGAAGACGCTTTCTGACTGTGGAAACAAATTGCAATTTGGACATCTGAATGCTCATTACAGAAAATATACATTGCAAGACAATCACCCTCCCAACTCTGCCATCTGCACTCAGGTGTCACCTGTCCACTGACATCTGTGATCAGTACCACAAAATCTCCAGATTCCATTCCCAAAGAGTTCTAATGCTTTCTGGTGGGTTATTTAACTCCATGCTTATAAACAACTTTTTCTTAATATTTTATTTATTATTTATATTTTATGTGTGTGAGTATAATGCCCGCATGCAGGTAAGTACACCCGTGTCATGCAATGCCTGCGGAGGTCAGAAGGAGGCATCAAATTCCTGGGAACTAGAGTGATAAATGATTGTTAGCCATCACATAGGTGCTGGGAATTGAACCCAGGTCCTCTGCAGGAGCAGCCAGTGCTCTTAACTGCTGAGCTATCTATCCAGCCCCATAAATAATTTTTGATACAATTTTTTAATAGCAGTTTGACTAAAAACTTCAATATTCTATTTGCATATCAAAAATTCATTTCTTAAGTTAAGAAACAACCATGACAGATTAAGTCAAAAGTGATAGCTTTGTTGGTGATAGTGACACACTTCCATTATCGTAGCACTCAGGAAGTAGAGGTGGAAGGATCAAGAGACCAAGGCTAGCCCAGGTTAGATAAAACCCTGTCTTGAAAAAACCAAAAATAATTATAATAGTAACTTTTAAAAATAGTTCTACTATTCCCACTTACAATGATAAAAGAATGATAAAAACATTGGCATTGCACCTGGGGAGATGGCTCAGCAGTTAAGAGGATTTGCTGCTCATGGAGAGGACTCTGGTTCAGTTCCCAACACCCACATCAGGTGGCTTACAACCACCTATACCTCCAGTTCCAGAGTCTCCGGTGCCCTCTTCTGGCCTTCATGGGTACTGCACACATGGTGCACATACATACACACAGATAAAATAAAAAAAATTTTTTAAAAAACACTGGCATTTATATTCAAGGAGTTTTTAAACTAGTCAATTGTCACATCATCATCATCATCATCATAATTCTTTTTTGTGGTCTACGTTGTTTCACTGATGCCTGTGTCATTGGGCAAAAACCCATCTTGAAATCCAACTGTCTAACTCCAAGAATAGGAGGACACACATATAAAGGTAAATTTTACTAAAGTGCAGGAGGAAAGCCAGTGAGTCAGTTTTTAAAATTACCAAGTACACAGGGCAGCTCACAGTAGGCTGACCAGTGTTGCTAAGCAGAAGTTTAAAAGTCCGAATTTCATGGATGAAAAGGACAGTAGGTAACACATCTACTGGTGAAGAACTCTAATGTCCAAAAGCCTGCACTCATGCACAGTTCCATCCGCCCCTGAAATTCCACTGTTACTCACTAGAAGCCTCAGCCAGCCCCTCAGTAAGCCTCGCAGATACAAATTAGTAGGGAACACAGTGGCCATATCCTGTTCCATCTCTGCAGAGAACAGTCATGAAAAGTCAATTCTCAATAGCAAAGAGGCTCTGGACTCCAAGAACAGCAGAGATGGCTTCCAGCACTGTGCTGCGAGCATCAAGGACTAGCGTTCACAGCTCAAGGCTCTGCAGCACAGACGCTCAACTGAAGCAAGCCATCCTCACGAACATGGGCATTTCAGAGAGAAAGAGCATTGGCGGTACATCTCGTGTGAGGGTAAGCCTTGCTGGGGAGATGGTTCGGTGGGTAATGTGTTTCCTACACAAGTTTAAGGACTGGAATTCAAGTTCCCAGCACCCATGTAAATGCCATGGGCATGAGGACACATTGCAATCTCTAGGCTTAGGAGGCAGAGACAGGGGATTCCCCAGAGCAAGCTGTCTTAGACTAGTGGAATTACTGACCTCTGTGTTAAGTGGCAGACTCTGCTGCAAAGAATAAAACAGAGAACAGAACAGAAAGGCAATGGGGGCCGAGAGAAGGCTCAGCAGCTAGGAGAACCAGCTGCTCTTGCAGAGGGTTCAGCTCCCAGCACCCACATGCAGCCAATCCACTCATAACTCCAGTTCCAGGGGTCTAACGCCCTCTTCTGGCTTCTGTGGGTATTGCATAACATGGGTGCACTTACATACATGCAGGCAGAACACTCATACATATAAAATAAAAATAAAGTAAAAAATAAAGACATCTGACATTAACTTCTGGCCTCCTCCATGTTCACATGTGCACACAAGCCCACACACATTACATACACGCAAACACACGTGCACATACACAGTGTAAGTCTCAAAACTTGTTAACTGTACACTCAGCCTCCCTATTTATTTGCATAAGTAGAATTGCATTATTTTACCTTTTATAGTTAAATGGGAATATAAATCAGATGAGGATGTACACCTAATCCTCAGAGCTGGAGGCAGGAGATCAGGAGTTCAAGGTCAGCCTGGGCTGTATAGCAAGTTAGAAGCTACACTGGGCTACAAGAGACCATGTCTATAAATTAATTAATTAATTAATTAATTAACTGAATGAATGAATGAATGTAAGCTATTATAATTTTTTTCAATACCTTAGGATATTTCTATCTAAATCAATAGAAAAATTATTTGATCTAATTGCTAGGACTAAACTAAAACTGCCAATGAGATTTATGTAGAAAAGCACATGGCCCAGTTATGTTCTTCACAAGAATAAATCTTCAGATTTGCTATAAATTCAGTGCAATGTAAAAGTGCTATGAATCTCACAAAATTCACAAAATGGTCTATTTTTGTAAAATAGTTTTCAATTGTGAATGCTTTCCATTCTAACTGATAGATATGATTATCAATTACAGGAAAATATATATATAATTTCCCCATATATATATATATATATATATAATATATATATATACACATTTTATTTTGAGAGAGGCTGACCTCAAACTCACTGTATAGCCAAGAATGATCTTGAACGCTCAATCCTCCTCCCTCAGGTAGAGAGCCTCAAAGAGGAACTGTTTAGATCATGTTAGCCACTGGGCATGACTGTGGGCATTATCTTGACTTCCTTAGCTGATGTGGGAAGATCTGCCCACTGTAGGCAGCACCACTCCCTGGGCTTGGATCCTGGACAGTGTGAGTGTAGTGAGGGGCTGAGCACAGGCAGGCACACATTCAGTCTCTGCTCCTGACTGTGACCAGCTGTATCCAGTGCCTGCCTTGATTTCCCCATAGTGCTGGTATTAGGACAATGCACATTCCAAATATGAGGGAAAACCTGTGACGCCGGCCCTGCTTTCCCTGCCCTCTCCCATCCCCCACCCCACCCGTTACACCCACATTGCCTCCAATGCTATTTCACACAATAATGGAAGCATGAAGAGCCACAATGAAGACTTACCCATAAGGCCTTCGCATGGCGGACTTGTCAAAAAGCAATTCACTGTAAGGCAGTTTCTTAAACTTATCTCTGCCAACAGCCACGTAAAACTGCCCATTCTCCAGATCGCCCCCATTCTCAATGAGCTTCCCATCTAGAGTGTAAAGTCTGTAAAATATCAATGCCAGCAATTAGCATCTTAACAAGCATTTTGAGAAGTGCCTAAAGACAAAATAAATAAAAACACTCTGTTCTTAGCTTGGCTCATCTGTTACTCTTCCAGTTACTGATTGTGAAGTTAACAGACTGAACAGGAACACAGTCACTGTACCAGAGATCGAGTACTGCCTGGCAGAACCGCGGGCCACTAGTGAGCCTCACCGCAGCACAGAGACCCACTCTGGCACCATATTTTCTTGGTTACAGGCTAGGTCAAGATTCCAGCCACATTCTCTGTTAAGAATAGCCTCTGGTCAAAGTATTAAAGCCAAACACACACAGAACTGGGTCAAAAAGAGGCAAGAGTCAGGAGGGGCGAGGCCTGGGCCAGCATTAATGGTGCAGAACCACATAGCACGCATTCTTCTGTCTCTTTTCCTGCTGTGCCTCCTAAGCAGGAGGGCGAACACGACTGTCTTCCCAGAGCCAAGGGGTTCCACAGAACCTCTTTTACTGTAACTACAATTAATATGTCACCTATTACAAGAACAGCGACACTTTACTGGATGGTTTTAAATGTCTACAGAATTTTAAAAGGGAAAAACGGACCAACACAAGATTAAGTCAGGAAGACAGTATGTAGCTTTGAAGACTATAAACGTGAGTCGGGAGTAGAGAGGATTAAAAGCCGATTGCTAGAAAAATTCTTGTGCCTTTATTGCATAATGAGGGTTAGCAAGCTATGGAAAGGCAAAATAATAATACTATAATCATAACAACAAAAGTAATAGTAATAAATACTTCTGCTCTAAGGAGACTCAGATGGGAAGAATGCAAATTCAAGGCTAGCCTGGGCTAAACAGTGATTTCCAGGTCATCCAGGACTAGGATGCCGTCTCAGAAAAAATGTCTACTGAGCTGTAGAATTAGCTATGCTGTATAACCATGAAGTCCACTGAAGAACCCACCGAACTCCCTGAAATGCATTAATCATTAATGGGCTGGTGTCCAGAGGCTGACATCTCTCTATAGCATGGTGCTTCCAACTCTGCAGATCAAGACAGCAGCTCAACCCACATTTCTGTTCTTCCTATTTGACCTAGACCAGCAGTCCTCAACAAAGGGACTGTAGACAGTGCTCACTTAAAGAGGCTGCCCTGTCCACTGTGGGGGGCTCAGCAGTGCCCGGGCCTCTCCTTGGTCTGTTATAGGGGGCTCAGCAGTGCCCGGGCCTCTCCTTGGTCTGTTACAGAGAGCTCAGCAGTGCCCAGGCCTCTCCTTGGTCTGTTATGGGGGGCTCAGCAGTGCCCAGGCCTCTCCTTGGTCTGTTACAGAGAGCTCAGCAGTGCCTGGGCCTCTCCTTGGTCTGTTACAGAGAGCTCAGCAGTGCCCAGGCCTCTCCTTGGTCTGTTACAGAGAGCTCAGCAGTGCCCAGGCCTCTCCTTGGTCTGTTACAGAGAGCTCAGCAGTGCCCAGGCCTCTCCCCAACTGGATGCGGCAGCTACTGCCTTGCCTAGCTGTAATCAGCAAAAATAGCTCCAGAAATCCCTTGGGGCAAAAATCATACCTGGTTGAGAACCACTGGCCGAGGGCCAAACATTCTTCTTCCATTTTCCTCCAAAAATAGTTAGATCTGAATCAGCAGTTAACTGCTATAGCTAGAAATTAAAAGGCAGCATAGTATGGACTCTGGAACCTTCCAGTTGAGAGCTGGCTACATTCCTGAGCACATTCTAACTGAGAACATTCTAACCCAAGATTGTCTTATGCTTCTTGACCCTTAACCTCCTTTCTTCTGCTGCCTCAAAATACAAGAATTATGAACAGGGAGTCAAATTAATTTCTGTGGGATGCTACTGGTAAATAAAGATGCAGATGGGCAAGAGAAAGCTGTATTGATGTTCTATTAGCAAATAAACTGGTGCATAATAGAAAGACTTATGGATGGTCTAGTAAGAGAAAGCGGACTTCTCAAGTGGGCAGCACCAAGTTGCCATTGCATCAATAATGAAGTTTCTCAGTCTGGTGTAGTGGCTCACACCTGAAATCATGGCATTCACAGGGTAGATACAGGAAGATATCCAAGATCCACTGTAGCCTGGGCTACCAAGTGAGTTCCAGACCAGCCAAGGCTACAGAGGGAGATCTTGTCTCAAAAAAATTTAATTTCTCTAAATATTCCAAAGGAAGATATTTTTATTTCTATGTTACAGCTCGGATAGCTGATCTTGGTTGTCACCTTGACAGACGTCGGAAAGAGTCTCAGTTGAAGACTTCCCTTCATCAGGTTGGCCTGTGAGCACGTCTGCGGTACATTTTCTTGATGCATGTATGATGTAGGAGGTCTCAGCCCAGGTAGGCCTGGGCTGTGTAGAAAGGTAGCTGAGAAGCCAGAGGAAACCAGCCAGCAGCGCTCCTCCATGGTCTCTGCCTCCAATTCCTGCCTTCACTTCCTGTGATGGCTTCCCTAGATGACGGTCTGTGAGCTGTAAGCCAGTAAACCCTTGCCTCCCCCAGCTGCATTTGGTCTTGGTGATTATCAAACAGAAGCAGACTAGGACGGTGCTCACGTGTATATTTGTTTCTATATGTGAATTTGCTTATATATTTGAGACAATATATCCAGGCATGAGATTGCCTGCACCCATATTTGTGTACTTTGTATACCATCTGTTGGCTATCTGTGTGTGTACATGTCAAAAGACAAAACTATACTTATACAGAAAAACTATATAAAAATATTGATATCTGACGTCATTCTTGAAACCAAAATAAAATCGAAAAGTAGCTAAGGCTTAAGTAAAAGTGAAAAGCACAAAATGAGACCACAGAAAATTAGTTTTATAATCCTGAAATCAGGAAGATCTGAGGTAGTCAAAAAATTAGTGCACACAGAGAAAGACTACAAATTGAGAATTCAAGATGTTTATGTGCAAAACAAAGAAAATGCTAACTGGGGCACATTTGAAATGTATAGGAAAAAGGGCCAATTTTCCTAATATGTAAAGAGTAACTGTAAACCAATAACATAAAGGAGAAAGGACCATAACAGAGAGTTCATGCAAGATTGTGTGAAAACAGGTGTCATTTGTTTAGAGAGTAGCTAAGAGCTCAGGTGGAGCCAGCCTGCCTGCTAGACTTGATGCCCAGTCCTGCCACCCAGGGTCTGCATAATCTTAGACAAGTAACTCTCCCACACTGGGCCTCACATGTCATGTCTATTAAAAGAGAATAGCACTACTTAACTCGTAAGACCGCAGAGTTAATTCAGTTAAAATGTGAACTGACTAGGGTAGTGCCCGGGATGGCACTACACATCAAAGAAACAGGAATCAAGAAATGGTGGATCACACTATGTCAGTGAGTGCAGTCTGTGTGAGATGTTGGCGCATGTAGAAGGGCTGTGTTGGCCTGTGTGCCGCTTGCAGAGGCCAGAGGCGGTCATCTGGTGTCCTGCTGACATTCTCCTTTGAGACAGGGTCTTGGTGAACCTGGAGTTGGGCTGCTGGCATCCAGCAAGCCCCAGAGACCCTCCTGTCCCTGCCTCCTGAATGTGTGTCTTGAGTGACTATAACTCGAGCACTGTGGGAGGCAGAGACAAGGAATGGCTGGGGCTGCTGGCTGTGGGCCATCCTGGCTCCAGGTTCAGTAAGAGAGCCCTTCTCAAGGGAGGAAGGAGGGGCCAACAGAACAGGACCCCACGTCCTCCTCTGGCCTCTATGCACAGGTCTCATACCACACACACGTACACATACACCACCCATAAACAAATCAATGAAGGAAGGAAAGAAGGAAGGAAGGGAGAGAAGGAGGGAGGGAGGGAGGGAGGGAGGAAAGGAACAGTGCACAGGCTTGTACAGGTGTAGAGCATTTCCCGTTCTGGTTTCTATGATACAAAAAGTACCAGGAAAGGGATGGTGGGGTCTGGATGGGAGAAATACTTTTTTATAAGTTATTTTTATTTTATATGTATGAGTGTATTGCCTGCATATATGTAAGTGCACCCATATTGTGCAATGCCTGAGGTGCTCAGAAGAGGGCTTCGGAGCCCCTGGAACTGCAGTTCCACCATGTGTGCTGGGAATTGAACCAGGGTCCTCTGAAAGAGCAGTCGGTGATCTTAACCACTGAGCCATCTCTCCATCCCCGGGAGAAATACTTTCAATTGACACTTTTGTCACACATGCAGTATTGCTTCCATTTAAAACACTTTCTACTTAAATTTTTAAGGGATATAAAATTTTAAGTTAATATATGTAAACATGCACACAGTAATCTGTACATGCATCCAACTGAAAAGTAAAATAGGCAACCATTTATGAACTTACTCTCTGCTGTGCTATGCTGTGTTTGGGTATGTGCATGTGTGTGAATGCATGGTGTGTACACACAAAAACAGGCATGTTCATCAACACAGCATATTAGAGAGGCTGAGGTGGAGCCAGATACTAAAGGGAAAAACTTGTTTGGATTGTGTGTGTGTGTGTGTGTGTGTGTGTGTGTGTGTGTGTTTGTGCGCACGCGCGTGTGTGTATGTGTTTTCTTGTGTACATATGCACTACAAATTTACTCTTTTGGGGGGTTGGGGAGGACACGGTCTCTCATAGCCCAAGCTGCCCCAGAACTCGATATGTAGACCAGGCTGACCTTGATCTCTAGATATCCCCCTGCCTCTGACTCCTGGGTGCTGGGATTAAAGGCATGAGCCACCACATCCAGCTATAAATGCACTCTTAATGTGTTCTATACATCTTTATTTGTAACCCTCCACCAGAAAGAAAAGAGGAATGTTAACCTGTCAAGAGGTAGTCAACTCAGTGAGCAAAGGCACCTGCCACCAAGCCTTACAACCTGAGTTGGGTTCCGTTCCCAGAACCCACGTGGTGGACGGAAAGAACTGATTCCCCCAAGTTGTCATCTGACCTCCACACATGGCTCACACACTCGTGGCATGTGGACACACAATAATAACTGTAATTTTAAAAATTTAGATGATTTCATAGGCTACACTGTGATTTTAATGTTCACTCAAATTTCACTGAAAAGAAATGGTTTGGGGGGGCTGGAGAGATGCTCAGTGGTTAAAAGCACTTGCTGCTCTTCCAAGGGACCTGGTTCGGTTCCCAGCACCCATGTCAGTGGCTTATAACTTGCCTTTAACTCCAGCTCCAGCTGAGCTAATGCTGTCTTCTGGCCTCAGCAGGTACTTGCACACATGTGGCTTGAACATATGTGGCATGCATGCACACAAATAAAACACATACACATAAATAAAAAGAAAGAAATCTTTTTTAAAAATGCTTTTGACTTTTAGGGTTAGAGAAACCCACTTATAATTATCCTGTTACCTGTGTCCCCATTAAACCCACTGACACTCCCTGGCATCTGACTTTTTACACTAGCCAGACAGTTTGGACCACTGAATAATCAATCATGCCTCCTGGAGGGAAAGAACTAAGAATCAAGGAGCTGGCTCACTCTGACAAGTCCTTCTCCCTGAAATCAGTGCAATGTTTGCTGATTGACTCTACAAAGCAGGTGATGCCTGCTGGCACTTTCCAGTGTGCAGAGGACTGTCTGAACCACCCTGTGAAGTAAGTGTTGCTATAAATCCAATCTGCAGATAACGAAACTGAGGCGTGCAAAGCTTAACCAGGTCAGCCAAAATCCAAATCTAGGGCTGCTGGCAACATCTTGAAGGCTCCCCAAACCACCCCCTGTGGGAAGATGCTCTCACGCACCTGTGGACAGCCCCGCTCCTCAGAGTTATCTTTTCTGTGACCATTTGGAGTACGTGGTCCCACTGGTTCAAGGCTTTTCTAGGGATGAGAAGGCGAGAAGCTGGGTTGATGAGGTCTCCATTTGCAATCAAGCTGAGGGGAGAAAAAGAAACAGCTGTGCCTGTACAGTTCAAATTCCAAACCCCAAGAAAGCACACAGCCAATTCCACCCTGAAGTGTGAGGGTCTCCAGCTTACAAGATAGTGCAGGGCTCGTGCAGCGACTTCCTGAAGCGGGCAGACACGTTGATCCTGCTGTGGATGACTGGCTTCACCTTTGAAAGCAAAGAGATAGAAATCAGTAGCTTCCTAATGGGGGACACTTGCTAATGCCTTCATGCAAGCCTTGCTCTCTGCCCACAGACACACACTCTGGGCTCATCAAATGCTGTCTGGACTATTAAAAAAAGAAAATATATGCCTTAAGCCCTAGATGTATGGCTATGATTTATACCAACCATGTACTCTTATGAAAATTTCAAGCAACTTTTTAATCACTGCTTTCTGGAAAAGAATGATTTCTTAAAATCCTATAAAACTCTGAATTCTGGAATGCTGTCACCCACAGCCACGGGACTGTCTTGGTGTCTCTCCCCATTCTCCGCACACCTGCTTCCTGTCCCCACAGTGCCAACCACCCCGTTCCTCTTCCAGCTTTACTTCCTCCCATGTCCATTGCCTACACCCCACCAGTCATCACCTGAACCCCACCAGTCATCACCTGCACCCCACCAGTCATCACCTGAACCTCACCAGTCATCATCACTTGCACCCCACCAGTCATCACCTGAACCCCACAAATCATCATCACCTGCACCCCACCAGTAATCACCTGCACCCCATCAGCAGCCTCTGGCCCCTCTGCTCTCACATCTGGGAGGCTAGAATTGCCTTCCCCATCCCTCCCTCCCTCCCTTCTTTCCTTCTTTCCTTCCTTCCTGACAGGGTCTCTCTAGTCCCAGCCTGCCTGGAAGTCACTTTGTGGACCAGGCTGGCCTCCATCTCACAGAGATCCTCCTGCCTCTGCCTCCCAAGGGCTGGCATTAAAGGTGGTCACCACCATGCCTGGCCACTGCTTTATTTAGACAAGATCTCTAACCTTGGCTGCTCCTTAAACTCACTATGTAACCAAAAAGGACCTGGAATTCCTCACCTCCTGCCCCCACCTCTGGAGTGCCAGAATTAACACGTGTGAGCCATCACATCCAGTTTATGTGGTGCCGAGGCTCAAACCCAGGGCCTCATGCCTGGCAAGCCCCCACCAACTGAGCTGCCAACTGAGCGGCCTCCTCAGCCCTCTCCCCCATCTTTGCTTCTGGAGCCTGGAGTCCAGCGCTGTGCAAGAACTTCAGGTAAGAAAGGGCCTTTGTCACCAGCTTGACCTCAGAGATGCTCAGCCAACCCCCTCCCCCCAAGCCAATGATTATTTTCCACCATTTCTACATTTCAGAATCGAGGGCCTTCCCTATCATGCCTGAAATCCTATGGGGGGGAGAGGGGAGGGAGAGGGGAGGGCGAGAGAGGGGAGGGGGAGGG